AAAAAAACTGATTCCCTACTCAAAACAAACAGACAAATAAATAACTTTCTTCAAAAATAAAGACTTGCTTTAATTTGCACATGAATTAGAAATTATGTAATATGTAGCTGGTTCAGTAATGGTTTGGCACATGGTTCAAACAAGTTAAGTTCAGTTGAATTAAAATAGAAACTTTTTATATTCATTTTTTAATTGAAAAAAATAAATGGAAAATACCTACTATTTGTGACATTCTTCTGAGGTAAGATGTTAAGTGGCCCGAGACTTGATCGGATTTCTTGGTCAATCAGTGACCTGAGAGGGCCAAATAAATAAGGTTCTTACATGCTGAAATCTTTTGTTTTTATTTATTTTTAAATCATAAGGAAAAAGCTGGACAGAAGACTAGTATGCCAGTTGAATATTTTGATCGCTGCAATGATTTCATTTTTCTTTCTTAATTTCGATAGCGGGTGAGGAAAATGAAAATTAGCCTGCCAATGCAACTTATTGCTCTTACCACGGCCCTCTTTCCAGCCTCTTGTTCAGTATCCCCTTCATCAGGGCTGGGGTTACCTCTATCTGCTCAATTCATGATTGTAGGTTTGCTGAGAGCATGCTCGGGATGTTACTCTAGTGGCTACTTTAAAGTGACATTAAACTTAGGAATAAAATCTTAAAAATACATTCAAGTACCTGAACTATTTACAAAACGGCATCTTCTTGGCTGTAGATCCTCAAATCATCTCTGAAAAGATGCTGACACTGTCCTTGCTTCTGGAGGGAGGCTACTTTTGTTCTCCATGGTCCCTGTGTGGGTTGTTAAGTAGTCACCGCTCCAAGCTCACTCCCGTTATCGACTATAATTTCATGTTTAGTTAACTAACTTGTATTGACATTGTAGTCCATCCCGGGAGTGAGCCTGGAGTGGTGACTACTTTACAACACACACAGGGAAAAGTAGCCACCCTGTAATTTTCAATACAAGTAAGTCAAGTAAATTAAATGTTAGATTGTAGTCTATCATGGGAGTGAGCTTGGAGCGGTGATCACTTTACAACCCACACAGGTTGATCTGATCACTAGCCTGAACTTAGGCACATCATTGTATCAATTTGGCACCTTTATGGTTACCTGTCAGTTGTTCCCAGGTAAGCAAAAGAGCTATAGCCTGGGAGTTGCCAATCAGCCCTGACCAACTACCTTTTTGGGGGGAAAGTTAAAGATCAGACACTTTTTAGACGTGATTGCATGTCTACCATCAGAGACACCTAGGACTCACCACAGTGTAAAACATCAGGAAAACAATGGGAACTCCTGAAAGTTTTGTAGAGTCTTGACTAATTAGGAGCCTGGGATGTACTTTGTTTTTTTTACAGTTCTTCCCCACTGGGCGCAAAATGCCCGAACCCAGTTTGACAGCTAAGATGCAGATCTTTGTAGCAGAGTCACTGTGAAGCTGTAATAGCATTTTAATATATCAGTGCTTGTTAAAATGTAAAAAGTGTTAACAGTGGTAGTTAGCTGCAGTTTGTCATTTGCATCCATGTATAATGTAACATTTGTTTAAACAAATAAATGCCTTTTGTCACTTCTCATCTCCACCAGGTCCAAGATATCTACCATGTTGTGAACATTCTGGTTGTGGGGGAGGGTACTGAGGTCAGTCAAGCTGTTGTGTAGAGAGTGATGGAGGGAGCAGGGGTGTGGCTTGCTGTGCGCTGTGTGTGTCTATGGACACAGCTAGGCACGGGTCACAGCTGAGAATGCACATGCATGTGTGCCAACTAGCTGAACAAGACACCCATGAACAGGCAAGGGGAGCAGTGGATTGGGGAACAGCTCCAGAAGGAGGAAAAAAACTACTTTAAGAAGAAGAATATTCTTATTTTGTAAGAATAAAATAAATAAATAAAAGGTTTATTATCACCTTAAATGTGCACTGAAAATAATTTTTAAAAATGGCAGCTAGGGTTGGGCTTTACCTAAACTTTACAATATGGTCGAACTGCTCAATGATTCAATAACATTAATGTATAACAAAGTGAAAATAGAAGAAACAAAAAAATTACATTGAGAAGAATGGTTGCTCATGTTTGCTTAGGATCTTACGGTTTCCTCCTGATGAGTGGTCCCGATATGAATCGCAGGGGAGGACTTTTGGCCGCTGACACACCCACTTTTCTCCATTGTGCTGATCATAATATTCACAGACGTCCTGCCCAGGCAGTTCAAAATTGCATTCAACCACTTCATGAGTCCCATTTTTCTCAAAGTAGCCTTTAAAGAACACCTGTACACCAAAAGCAAACATATATTCAGTCTAACAAAACTTTTGTGTGAAAATCCAGAAAACAAATTGATACACATATAGCTTTTTGGGGTATTTTTCTTGTAGCAAAATAGAATTATCCTTCCCCACTATGATTCCCAAAGAAACAAAAGTAAGACTCCTATTCTGCGGTTGCATACATCTCTTGGCGCCCATTCACAGCTGAGTGATTTGTTGTGCGTTTCCTAAAGTGCAACAATGCTCAATATAAAGATTCCATTCTATGCAATGGTGCCCATTCACACTTTATCATGTCGAAGAAGTACATGGACTTTTTCTCTGGCAGAATTGCACATTTTGACTGCATAGACTTTAACGGGAGCAACTAAAAATGTATGACAAATTTAGTGAATTTGCTAGGCACTTTTGCACCTAACATCTGGTCTCCTCCTCCTAGAACTTTGAACAAGATGGAAGACTAAACCCCCATTCACACTGCGCGATTCGCAAATCGTGCGTTTGTTGAGCGATTTGCATTTTGCGCGATATCGCACGATATCGCGCAAATGCTTGCATTGAAAAGCATTGAATCGTGGCAAAATCCGCTCCAAAAATGGTCCTGCTGTAGCGACACACGACACGCGACAGCAGGACCCATTGCCAAGCATTGGAGAGCGATATCGCGGGAATTACCGCGCGATAAATCGCTCAATGTGAACGGCGCCTAAGAAGAGTCCATGCTGACTATGAATGAAAACCACTATGACCCAAGTGATGCCCATTACAAGAACAGTGGCGAGTGGCAGAGGGCCTGAGAGGAAATTGGGCATGAAGTTTTCCTAGATTGGAAAAGCAAAACAAATGACAAACGCACTCAACATTTTGTCACCAACTATACAGCAAGGTGCACACGAAATGGGCTTAAAACAGTAGACAGTAGAAAGGTATCATGGCACACTCACAAGTCAGCATGTAAAAAAAACTTGTCTCACCACTAAGGTTAATAACAGAGATTTGGATACACGTCTTCTGCAGTGCGGCTTTCACATTTTCTGCAGAAGACGTGTATCCAAACCTCTGTTATTGACCTTTGTGGTGAGACAAGTTTTTTTTACATGCTGACTTGTGAGTGTGCCATGATGCCTTTCTACTGTTTCCTAGATTGGAAGACACATGCAACATCACACAGAAAACCAGAAAACTGATACAAGGATGATGACGGTGTGACGATAAGGGGGTCTGAGTCTGAATATTAAAAATAGAATGTGTTTGTGCCCCAGTTCAGAGCACCTGCAGGACTTCATGTAGTGATGTGACAGGCCCCCACCACATTCTACAGAAGAGATGCTCTGGCTGTAATCTTTTATTGCCCAGTCCGAGGGAAATTCAAACATATCTCTGCTAAGCCTTTTATGGCTGTCGTAAAAGGGCATGGCACCAGGCCCTCAATATATTAGAATTGGACAGTTCATATCAACAATCAGGTCGGGAGAGGGGTGACCTAGGTGACCCTCGCATTCTCTCTAAAAGTCATAAAACCTGAGGTTGAAAATCAAGTTACATTTTATTAATTTGGAATTTGGGTGGTGATAGATAAAATAAAGGTTCATCCTCCGCCCGTTTGCCCGCCCACCCCGGCCTAGGGGCTGTCTTTGGAACACCCTCCAAAAGGGTCTTATAAAATACTCTGTGTTGGCAACTAGAGTGGCTCTTGTTTTTTTAAACATCATCGAGGAACTAGAAGTCTGAACATCGCAGAAGAGTTCCCCTTTAATCTTTGGACATTATCTGCCGGAGGTCAGCTTGAAGGAGAGCCCGGCGGACTTCCACTTTGCTTCTTGGACTCTGAACTCTGTCAGAACTCACAATTCCAGGACTGTTGAGTATTCTTCTTTTATTCCCTTTTATTTTGCCGTTGTATATATATTGTGTCTCTTTATTATTATCTTTTTCTGTATATTTTCTGCACCGTTTCTTTTATTAAAGGACGATATAAAAATCGTTAAGCTTATCTCTCCGCTCTGAATACGAACTTAAAGTATCCTTGCTCTTTGAAGAGTGCTACTGTATAGTGAATCCTGTCATATTCCTGTCTGAGAGGACAGCAGCATCACAGGCATTGTTTAAGTGTTTTAAATAGTCGCAGCATTTGCTGGGTGCGGTTTGTGTTCCGAAAAACACATGGTGGCAGTGGAAGTTTGTGGGTAAAGGGTTAACTGCGGAGTTAAAGTATAGTGAATCCTGTCATATTCCTGTCTGAGAGGACAGCAGCATCACAGGCATTGTTTAAGTGTTTTAAATAGTCGCAGCATTTGCTGGGTGCGGTTTGTGTTCCGAAAAACACATGGTGGCAGTGGAAGTTTTGTGGGTAAAGGGTTAACTGCGGAGTTAACCAACCCTGGTGACAATCGCTCTCAGTCTGCTGGCCTGAGATTGTGTCCTGCGAGCTGGGAAATCTCTGCGCAGGGTGAGGCTGAGAGTGGTATCGCCACGTCCTTGTGACGCTCACGCTCGGTTCAGACTGGTGTATGGTCACGTGGGATTGACGTACAGCGGGTCTGGGCCGGGCGTACGTCACAGACGGCAGATCATGTCAGAGATAATACAGCTTTCCACTGGCCAACACAAAAATATCTGAAGCTCAATAACACATGAAAATGCATAAAAAAGGCTTTAGTTAATGCAATGCATGCAAAAAAGCATGGAAATGTACAAAATAATACTACAAAATTGTCTGAAAATGCTCATGCTTAGGTGTAAATGGGAGCTTAGTGTTGGAGAACTGCCAAATAAGCGCAGTCATGCGTTATGATATTTCAGCAATGCTACAGCGCACCAGCAGATGGAGCTACTTTGTTATGGTTGGATCTACAGTACGTCTGCAGAATATATCCCAAGATCTTTAAAGGGTATGTAAACCCTAACAATAAACATTCCTTATTTGCATCATTTTGACCTGTTAAATAAAACATTGAAAGTGTTTTGTTATATCCAAATACAAAACAAAAAAATACCTATATAAGTTAACTGATTTATAATAGACCTCCTGATGTTTGGCATGCAACTACATGGACCTGCTTTCTATAAGTAAGAGTTTTCAGCGTGGAATACTTTGGCGCCTTCTTGCTGTCTGTAGGTACCCCATTGTACTATAATAAAGGATTTTGCATTAAATGTTACTTTGTGCCCTCATCCATTTTTTAAATGAGGCATACTCCATAGTGACGATCTGGACATGCACCTGGCTGTTAATTGGAGTCAAATGTTGACCAACATGGAGGGGTATTAATGCTTTGTGTATTTGAATTGTATATGGGTCTAGGCAAGGCTTTCAAACTGAAGTGCATATGCCATGGAGTGTATTTTTTCCACCCAAGCAGCTTAATAAGCAAAATTAGCAGTATCTGGTCAATGCAATTTCTCCAATAGAAAAATAAATGTAGCCAAAATCACTCCTCTCATTTCCTTAATAAGTACAGTGGGGTGACTGCTGCTCTTTCTTGGAGAACCTTTTTTTAAATATTTTATCCAGCCTTATTGCATATATAGTTATCTGATCCATTGTATTACCTTATCTGGTCGAGAATCCCTCTTCTCATGCAAAATTGCGATAGCTTCACTGGAATGCATGAGACTAATAGAGATTTTAGTTTCTCCAGGCCACTGAAAAATAAATCTGGCTGTATAGGAACCATTATGATTGTCCTCAACAGAGCCACTTACTCCAGCCTTCATACTCGAAGAGTAAAGCTTCACATGCAAGAAATCTCCACCATACTTCTTTGTCTGACCCTTGTGGTCCTTCGCTATAATTAGAAGCTCCAGTGATTCACCAACCACATAAGTAGCATAAGGATTGATTATAAAATATTCACAAGTCTTTGGGTGGGTGGAAAGCTTCAGGTTTACGTTGGTTGGAGCCAGTGGCCATTCAATCATCTTCATCAGTTCAATATGCTCTGCACTTTGAGGGGTGGTCACTGGAAATGTTGGTGTGGATGTAGTTGCCAATGCAACTGGATGATTGTCCACAACAGTGAAATACTCTCGCCATAAAATATTGAAAATAAACTGGAAAAAAAAAACATTGGTAAGATAATGTTAATAATGCTTAATTTGTGCTATTTATCTATAAATAAAACTTCAGGTTACTGGATAGATAATATCCATTGACTTATTTTGAATGTCGAACAATCCCGTTAATTTAAAGCCCAATTCCAGGATCCCTAGCTGCCCTTTGCCCTCTCCCTCAGTGGCCCCACTTGGAGTAGGTTTTGCTCTTTATTTTTTAAAGTCTTCAAGCTGGTCATGTGATTTGCTGGCCCTTCTTTTGCTTTTATGGCCCAGGCCAGTTCTCGGTTGATGCAGAGAGCAGCACTGGCAATAAGATGCTAACCCCTTTTACTGCTTTAGTTATTTTAAATTAAGGGTTTGGTGGTGATACCTCCTTAAGGGTTATGATGCCCATTTATTCATAGTATGTCCTCAGCCATTATGGTTGGATAACACTGAATGTCATTGAGCTTGGAAGACTGAGGACATATTGCAACAAAATGTAGAAAAAATGAAACTGTCACATCACTAGTAACAGTCCAATTCTATCTTTATTGTGTGTATTAAAAGCCAGCACATTTTGGAGATTGAAGAGAGACGAAGAAGGAGATCTATGGGGGTAAA